AAAAATAAAAAATGATGCCGGATAAGAAAAAAAAAAAAACACAACCGCCTTAACGAAACTGCCACCCTGACACCACTGCCGGCCTGAGTTACAACTGTCTTTTCGAACTCAGGCCATGACAAAGTTGCGGACTGCCTGTTTTTTCTGCCTTTGCGAACTCAAAACATGCGGCGTCTAATGACTTTCAGAGACCTTACGGATGACTGGAGGTGACGATAGGTGGGGAGCTCCAGCGTTTACTGGACGATGAAATCCCTGATTGCTTGCAAGTCCTTTCATGTAGTTCATGAAAAAAAGAAAAGCCCTAGTCAGAAATATCTCAGGGCATACTCACACTGTGACCCCAAATCCGCGAAGTATGCGGATTTTAGACGGGCCGATTTGAGGTTTTGGGCATGCTTCGGGTCAGACTGCTGTACCTTTTCGGATGGGACAAGGTCGTGGCAGTCTGGAGAAATGGGGATCTGGTACTTTGCTGGTCACACGGGCCATGAAACGGTTTTCACCTTTTTGCAGTCACAGATGCGGGCCGTACTCACCTTACCCATGTACAGTATCGAGTTGACCTCCGAGTGTTTGAACCCGTGACCTGTGATTTGATAGAACCCGTGACCTGTGTTTGATAATTGTTTGTTTGTCTGTCGTAGGTCTGTGTAGATGTAGGGGTTCGATCTGTAGGTCTGTCAAATAGAGGTCATAGCTTTGTAGAGGTTGAAACCGCTAGGCTAGAGGTCTGTAGGTGAGTAGCAGGTCCAACTGCATTGAGTCGGCAGTGCAACCTGATGCAGTTGAAGTTGCCAGTCCCAGTCCTACGGAGATCGATCCAGCAAGTACCGTGTGGGACTGTGCATATCCAGGGCCTGGTGGAAAGGGGCAGACCAGCGTCAAACAGAAGTATAAATCAAGAGCAGCGCCCAGCAATTCATTCATTCGCTGTGTAAGCCATGCGGAAGCGCTGCTACAGCGTCTTGTGCAAAGATGGTCTGCAGGTTGCCCGAAGACGAAGTGGGCTGGAGAGCGAGATCGTAGCCATAATTAGTAGAGGTAGGGCGGACATAGCCGTGATAGGAGCAAGATAGACTTAGTGTGTGTGTGCATGGGAGTATTCAGGGTGATCCAGAGTTGAGAAGAGTTGAGTGTGTGTGAACAGTGGTGTTGGACGTGGTGACGAGAGTTGGGATGTACAGGCGCTGTTGCGCCATAGCCTTTTGAAGTGAATTGCATCTGAACTGCGTTCTCGAGTGCCATATCTCTGAGCTTTGAGTGGGCGCCCTGCGCCAGTTGGAATCGCCATCTGTTCACATGTATGCGAAGTGGAAAAGAAAGCGAGTCTGATTGCAGCCATCTGCAAATTGTGCAAGAACCTTTGTGAACGAATTTTTGCCAATTTTCGAAGAAAATGTGAAAAACGAAACAGGGCATTTGCCGTCACCTCCGGAGGTGACCGCAAATTCCCTTGCCCGGCGGAACGCCAGTTAAAGTAGTGGTAGGTTCTGAAAAGAAGCATATGTTCCATGATGACATGGCAGAACGCCAGTTAAAAGATATGTGAGGTGAGAGAGAAAATATATGGCTGTCCCCCGATGAGGAGAAGGCATCTTTTCAAAAAAAATAAAAAAAATAAAAAATCCTATGCCTCTCCCCTTAGTTCCAAATACGCTTTGATTCCGCACAGTCCCACCAAAGGTGCCAGCTGGTCTCCGGATATCTTTTGCGCTCAGGAATATCTACATTGGGCAAATTTGCCGAAAACTACCCGTTTGTAAACGTATCCTAGCAACTTTACCAGTCTGCGCAGGTATGGTGGCATATATACGGGTTAAGGGCGTACTCACACTAGCACCATCGTAAATGTATCTGACCGCATTTACATCCAGACGTGGATGTATCTGGCCTCAATTACGTCACAAAATAAGTAAAATGATCCTGGTGTGAGTATGCCCCAAGTTGCAGAAATACCATTTTCGGAAGGTTTCTGTGCAGATTTACCGGGCGGTACCTGTTGGCCTGTGGCAAGGGCTCCAAGGCCCACGGGTCCTCTGTTCCAAAAGCAGGCTTCAAGGCCCACGGTTCCTCTGTTGCAAAAGCAGGTACCACGTGGTATATTTGCCACTGAATCGTCACCGACCGGTATTTCTGCATAGATAGACCTCAAAAGAGGCTGGGCTGCCTGCATAGATAGCCTCAGGAGATGAGAGGGAGGATGGCCTGCTGGAGTCGTCGGATATGTCCACTGAGGTCATCGTGTGAATGCTCCAAAAACATGAGCACACAGAACCCATAATGCATGCACGATTTGTGTAGTTTGAAGAGAAAACAAAGAAAAATGTACAAAAAAGAAGCAAAGAAACTCCCCACATGAGCACGTACACATGCACTCGCACGCACGTTCGCACGCATAATGAGATATGTGGCAAACGAGCTCGGCAGTAAGGGCATATTCACACTGGGACGGAGAAACCAATTTGGAGGATCTTCAATACCAATGAACAATACATGGGAGGCATTATATGTCACAGATACCATACAGGGTTTGCTTCAACAGTCAAAATGGTACTTCCCATTGCCCTTCTAGCCTCTCTGCAAGAATTGTCTTCCCATTCTCTGTTCTGTACTTTGCTGCTGAAGGACCTGCTATCATTGAGGGCATCCATGACGAACCCTTTTGGATGAGCTCTGTAGGTAATTGCGGTCAGATACATGATACATCCATGGCGAACCCTAATTGTGATCAGATACATCCAGGACAGTCCTGGTGTGAGTGTACCCTGAGGCACAAGGGGCTCGTTCCCAATGGAGAGACCCATCTCTTCTCTCTAGTTCATGCGTTTGTGGGATCTCCAAGATTCTGAGACTGAATCAGCTTTCCTTGCCTTCATGCATCCGCGGAATCCGATTCGTTGTGATATAAAAAAATGTCCCTGTTTGTTTTTGGACGTCTTTCAGGGTCTCTGAGGACGGCTGGTTGCTGGGTGTGCGAGATTGGTGAATTGGTGTGTGTTTATTGAACTTCATTCTGCTTTCTTACCTCTCTGAATGACTATGATTGTTCAGTTTTCCTTGCATTTGGTTAATACTGGACTTGGTTGTTGGCCATAAAACGTGTCCGTGCTTTCTACGGCGAAGGTGGCAGTGGCATTGTCGCACGCAGCAATTCTTGAAGAGTCTATACGAGGACGGCGCCAACTTGAGGAGCAGAACAAGGCACTCGACACTGCAAGGAGAGAGGCAGAGGCCGCCATCCAGGCACGAAATGACTTCCTCGCAGTAATGAATCATGAAATGCGAACGCCTATGCATGCAATAATAGCTCTGGCTAGCTTGCTCCAGGAGACAGGGGATCTGTCGCAGGAGCAGCGAGGCATGGTGGAGACCATCCTCCGCAGTAGCAATCTGCTAGCCAACCTCATCAACGATGTATTAGACCTCTCAAGGTTAGAGGACGGAAGTCTACAGCTTGACAAAAGGGTTTTTAACATGCAGAACGTCTTCAAAGAGGTGAGTGTGACTATAGACCTTCCTCTTGTGGAGTCGCAACAGAACACTTGCCCAACGCTTGTCAGATTTTAGCTTTTCCATTTCCTCTCATCACATTGAAATTCCCCTTTTCCTTCAGACCAACTGATCTGACACATTGAAAGCTAAGTAACCCCTAGCCCACCTCTTCGCTCCTTCCTCTTCCCTCTGTCCTCCTGCATTTCGTCGCTCGTCTCTAAGGAAGCGCCTCTTACTAACAGGCTGGTCTCAATGGTGCTATGTTCATCTATCTTTTTTTTTTTTTTTTTTTTTTTTTTTTTTGAAAACAAAACCAGCGTCCACTACTAGAGGGGGTGGTAAGAGCAGCCTCCTCTAGTAGCTATCCCTGGTTGCTCCGTCTATTGGTGGGGAGCTTCACCTGCTGGAAACCGGGTCCAGCGTCCCTTACAGCTCGGAGACTTTTACAGTCTTCAATCAAAAATATCAAGAATTCATGCTCAGAAAACACGAATTTGATCTATGCCAATAGCTGTCCCTGTCCAGGTTCATGCTAACGGAGCATAAAAATTCGATCTATGCCAATAGCTGTCCCTGTCCAAGTCCAATCAGCTCTTGTCCCAGCGGATAAGTGGCAGACCCCGCTGTCACATGCTATATGTTGTCAAACGGCCAGGTTTGTGCTACCGTCTTTTTTTACCCGAATACTACGGCGAATAGAACGCCCGGTCCTTATCGCTGTATCTAGACGGAATGTTGCCTCAAATACAGCTATAATGACCGGGCGTTCTATTCGGGTGAAGACGCTAGTGTAGCTGAGTTAGCTCCCATTGGTGCAATGTTCATGCTTGCATAGACAGCATGAGTCTGGACTCTGGACATATCTGACTAGATTCATGCTACCAAATTACCAAAAGTATAAATACAGCTACAGGTGGATTCTGACCCTATCACAGAGTCACTGGAGGCCAACCCCACGTTCTCAAGGTTGACACGGTATGGGGGGATGGAGCAGCTGAGGTACTTAAGCCGCCAGTAGTACCTTTGCCCTATGCCGGCCGCGGGCTCTGCGAGTTCTCAGGGTGCATCTGGCCGGCGCGGCGGCCCGGGTGAGGCCACCATGTTAACCTGGGTGTTTCAGCAATTTGCCTGGGAAAGGTACTGGTGGTGGCACGGAGGTGCAGCAGGATATGACAATGTTGGCATATGACTGGCAATGCGGAAAAGACAAGGAATGATACTTTTTGGGCTTTTCGATAATTATGCAGATATAATTTATTCCAAAGGGGAGTGCACAAGTACTCCTTGGTAGGCTTATCACCCCTTTGGGAGCCCTTTGTAGAAAGAAACACCAAAGGAATAGCCGATGAAAGCACATTGTTGGCCCACCAATGTCTAGGAACGTCAAAGCTAGCCCTGTTAGGATGCAACACTGGAAAAAAAAAAGGACGCAACAGTAGCAGCACATCAAACATGATAGATAACACATAGTATGACTTATCACAGGGCAAGGCTCACAGTCATTATAGCATACAGCACATTCATATCATCAGCACATTGCTTCTTCTTCTTCTTCTTCTTCTTCTTCTTCTTCTTCTTCTTCTTTTTTTTTGGGGGGGGGGGAGGGGATACATCTGCCTGGGCTTACTAGTGAGGGTGATATAAGCATTCCCAAACAGCTAGTCCATAATGTTGCAGCATACATAGCAAATAACACAAGCACAGTGTATCTGCATTCCACATAATGGCATGATAATATATATATATATATATATATATATATATATATATATATATATATATTGTCACAAACAGAACTGCCCGGTAAACCGTAGGCAGAGAGAGAGAAGAGGACAACAAACGAGGGGCTGTGACAAACTGTTTCGTCGGAGTTTCACCGACTCATCAGGATACATATATATATATCACTACCAACATGACAAAGTTTTTCGGCCGCGGGCTGTGTCGGTTCACCTGTGATGAACTTCGGCCGTGCGATCAACGATTTTGAGACGTCGGATACGAATCTGACGCGTTTGACGCGCCGTGATACAATCTCGACCGATGATGCATGGATCGTGAGGCGTCCGATACAAAATCTGTCGCGTCTGACGCGCCTCAGCCGGGCGCCGTTTCTTTTCTTTTTCTTTTCTTTTTTGTTTTTTTTTGTTTTTCTCCTTTTTTTGCGTTTCGGGCGGGAGTTTCACTGCTTTCCTTTCGCTTTCGCGCCGGCCCTCCGCGCCCGCCCTCCGCCCTCCGCACCCACCCTCCGCGCTTTGGCCTTCGGATTTCGCCCTCTTCGCCCGCCTTCGGCCGGGCGCCGTTTCTTTTTTGTTTTTTTTTTGTTTTTCCTACTTTTTTTGCGTTTCGGGCGGGAGTTTCACTGCTTTCCTTTTGCTTTCGCGCCGGCCCTCCGCGCCCGCCCTCCGCTCTCCGCACCCACGCTCCTCGCTTTCGCCTTCGGATTTTGCCCTCTGCGCAAGCCCTCCGCACCCGCCCTCCGCGGTTTCGCCCTTCGCCTTCGCCCTCCGCGCAACGAAAGCTCTTTCGCACCCGACCCCCCGTGCGCACGCACACATACGCAGCCGCCCGCCTGCCCGCGCATGACCTATTTGCCACTACATCTCTCTCTCTCTCTCTCTCTCTCTCTCTCTCTCTCTCTCTCTTTTTCTCTCTGTCGGTGGTCCGGCTCCCATGCATTTTATTTTATTTTTTTTTCATTTTTTTCATTTTTTCCAACAAAAAAAAAAAAAAAAAACGTATGAGTGAACAGACACAAAGTAGTCACAGGAGAGAGAGAGAGAGAGAGAGAGAGAGAGAGAGAGAGCCACGGCGAGTTTGCTGTGGCACTCTGCGCAGCTCGCCATGCATCTCTCTCTCTCTCTCTCTCAGTTCGAAGTTGCAAATAGGGAGTGAATCTTCCCGTGTTGGTGGAAATATACGTTCAGGTGTTGCAAATTGCTGGCGTGCAAAGTAGTCACAGGAGAGAGAGAGAGAGAGAGAGAGAGAGAGAGAGAGAGAGAGAGAGAGAGAGAGAGCCACGGCGAGTTTGCCGCACTCTGCGCAGCTCACCGTGCATCTCTCTCTCTCTCTCTCTCTCTCTCTCTCTCTCTCTCTCTCTCTCTCTCTCTCTCTCTCTCAGTTCGAAGTTGCAAATAGGGAATGAATCTTTCCGTGTTCGTGGAAATATACGTTCAGGTGTTGCAAATTGCTGGTGCGCAAAGTAGTCACAGGAGAGAGAGAGAGAGAGAGAGAGAGAGAGAGAGAGAGAGAGAGAG